TATTTCTTAAAAACAAAACAAAACAAAGCAAAACTGTATTTTTCAAAACTTTCCTAAAAGTCTTTTAGCTTGAAGTAAGACCAGCCTAGAGCATGGCTGTATAATTGAAGATGTTAGGGATCATGTATTGTAGTATTTACATGCATATGTCTCTCTGTGTCTTAAGCTGTTTAACAGAAAATCCTTCTTAGTAAGAAGTGAATAAATGTAATTAAGTTGAACTTAATGGAGTTAATACATTTGATCTATTCCATATGCTGATATCTTGAAAATTACAAAATACTAAGGATTTGTGTTTGGACACTTATTATTTTTTTCTTTCAGTTAACTGATACCAGCTGCATCCTACAGCCCTTTACTATTTTACCAGTTAAGACAAAATGGAACAGTGCGAACTTTCATGTTCTTTTATTTGATCTGGAAAGACTGGAGGAACTTCTGCTGTCATCTCAATTCAATGGATTAAAGTCTTCAAATTCGTTCCACAACTATGACACTCTAGAAAGAGCCAAAAGTGCTACTGAGAAAAGGACATTGACATTAAAAAGAAATAAAACTGCTGGCTCCATATCTCCAGTGGATGGGCAAGTAGATACTGTTTGTTCGGTCCAGGTCTATAGGGATAACAACACAGCTAGGCCTTTGGATGAAAGTGGCATGAAAAGACAGAAGAAAATGAAGAGTTCAAGAAAGATTAGAATGCAGCCATCAGGTAACATTGATGTGAACATTGTCACAGATACAGCTAAACTGCTTTTGTCGTGTCTTTTACCATGGGGTGTAGATAAAGAAATAGACAATCTTTGTGTTAGGCATTTAGATATCTTGAGGCTTCAGCATCCTGTTTCTTTTGGACTTGTGTCAAATGAAAACCACCTATCACTAATGTTGCCAGGATGGAAATGTACTGATTGTGGCATGCTAGAAGAACATGCAATAATCAACTTGTTTTCAAAAAGAGTGCTTGATTTATCAAACAAGTACCTTGCTGCAATTGAAGGACACACTGGAAAGAATGATGGACCTGAGAATGTTTATGGAACAAAGGGATTGGAAACAGTACTCTTCTTATTTAGGAGAATAGCTTTGATCAACAGGATAATTAACATACCTTCAACAATTACAGATGACATTGAAAGGTAAGAACCTTTTCATCACGAGTCTTTTCTTCCTCTACAGTGGTTAAAAAGTAAAAAATATGAAACATACTTAAATACAGACTTTTGCAATGGAGTTTACAATCTTTTTCTAGAGTTTTTTATAGGATGTTCTTTGAACAAAAGCAGATAGGAATAAACTTAAGTATCTTTATATTTTTCTACTTAGAAGGTGAGAACTGATGCAAGAAATTTTCTTAAGAGAACAAGAACTTGAATTATCCAGCTTCACACGCTGTTTTTCCTGAGATCACTCTTTTCCTCACAGTTTAAGTAGAATAATGAGGTATCTTCAGGCTCATTGTGAGATGTGCGTTTAAGCACCTTTGCTGTTTTAACTTCAATTCTCTGTAAGCAATATAATTCCTTTATTATGAAACCCTTGCCTTCACAGATAAATAAAACATGAGACACAAGAACAGTCTGTCCTAGTTACACAATGTAAAGTACAATGCCCCCAGTAATAATGGAGGCTACTGGGAGTGAGTGCCTCATCAGCCGTTACGTTCTGAGAACCATCACAAATAACAGTTACATTACTCAAAACAAATTTATTGCCTAAATGCTTTTTCAGCATTAAAAGAAAAATAGCATGCTCAACATGAGTTCAGCAAGCCAAATAGAGCATATTAATCGGGCAATGGATATGTCCGCAGACTTTTGTTGTCCTGCAAACCTAGGTTGGTCTGTATTTAGCATTTTAGGGACAATTAACTTCAATGTTGGTGATGCTATGGCCCTGAGGCAAGAAGAGAGACAAAAAATATTGATCCTGATGCTGCAGATATCTGTGCATCTTCCACAAAACTCTAGGCATTCAGCATATCTCAAGATATGCACCATACTGCAAGACACGCATATTTCTAAATTACATTTAGTACTAATTACATTGCCTACCGGTCCATATTCAGCATAAGCTCTTATAGGGAAGGTTGTTTCAGTATTCCAGCTTGAACATGCATTCCTTTCCATCCAAGAAAGGACTTTATGCTTGCTTTGTCTTATAGTACTCAGCTGGAAGGACAACAAGTGAGTAGCCATACCAGAATCATTTTTCCCAGACTTACACAACCTGGATTTGGAACATATCTCCCATAAAACTATAAGTATTGAAGTTGTTACAAGAAAAAATGCCTTTTTTTTTTCTTTTTCTTTTTTTTTTTTTTTTTGTGAAATCTGTACTATGTAATTTCAAGGTTTATCCAGGAAAGGTGAAGCCATAAAAACTTTAGCATCTCTTCCAGAAAAAGGTGAATGTTTTTACCAAAGAGAGGAAAAGAATTTGCCATAAATTTTGGTTACAAAAAAAGTTATTAATTTTATTCAAAGGTTCTGGAATGTTTTATTTGGTGTTTTGACATGGTTTGGTTTGGATTGCCTCTTCTCCAGAGCCAATAGTATACCTATTTATAGCTGTCTTGTAGCTAAGTTTTAGTTTGGCGCCAATTTTGATGGCCTAATGTGGGCTGTTGCCTCCCAGTGGCCTCATCTGGATAAGAGAACTGAGTTGTACCCATTCAGTTATTTTCTTAGATGTTTTTGCTTTGTTTTGTTTGTGTATTTGAGTGTGTGTGTTTTGGGTTTTTGTTTGGTTTGGTTTCTTTCTGAGGGCAGAGGAGGAGGGGGGGAGGTGGTTTTTTTCTGTGAATGTTTGTTTGTTGTTTTTTTTTCCCTGAGCTCCATATTTTCCTCTTGAAGCCTTTAGAAGCATCTACAAGTGCTATGGGTCTACAGAGACAAACTAATTCTTTTTCCTGCCTATACTTGCACACTCTTGCTTACCTTTGAGGCTGTACCTTTACTGTTCACCTGTTAAACATTGAGGAAATAGACAAGTAGCCACAATTTTTGTGTGAGTGAAAGATAAAGTGTTCTTTCTTAGGGAACTTGATCAGAACTAGAGTGTATTTGCTGCGTTTTAGCAACACAGACCTCAGATTTTAGTCACAGGGACATTTTCCTCTTTACTGCTGGTGACAGGAAATGTTTTACTTACTGGGATTCTGTTCCTCCCAAGAACTGTATCAGAACTTCAGACATATCACTCATAATTTACTTTTTATTTTTTCCGCTATAAATGAAGATAAGAACAGGTGAGATGAAAAGGATTTTGTATTGTTTCCTTCCTTCCGTAAAACTCCAAGCGACAGGGGAAAAGCCCCTTTCCTGTGAAGTTACCTTTCCCTCTTCCCTCCCCAGTAATAAGTATAGCATGAATAGGACTTGGCCTATTTGCCACGGTCTTAGGATTCAGCCTTCACTTCACCTCTTCCTCTTGCAAATAATCGGGGTCTGAATGAACTAGCGTAATCTATCTATGTTCGTTCATTAAATGTCTTTATCTGATTTAGCCTTATTAAGAATTCACTCTGAGAGTTGGAATGAGTTTTCTCTGTGAGGATGAGCTGTTAACATAATGTACTTTTGCCGAATTGCAAGTTTGAAAGAAACTAAGTAAAAGCTATTTTGTCCAGTTTGGCTTCTAAAAGTACAGTGTGTAGCCAAACCTCTCTGGGCAGCTGGTTTAGCTGAAACCACAGCATGCTCAAGGGAAACAACTAAGTACTGAATTCGAATTCACCACAGCATTTGCAGAAAGAGCTAGGACAACTTTAACAGCTTGTAAGTTTCCTGATGTTTCTATATCTGTTGGGGTTTTTGCATCTTGGCTCAGACTGTGAAAATAAAGGAACCTGCAGTAAAATATGTCAGATTATAAAAGTGGGACAGCAACAGGAAGAAGCTAGTAAGAAAAGATCTTCAAAGAATGTTTTCTCCTGCCTTTTGAGATTTGTATCTGTAACTTAAAGCTCTCAAGCTGAAAGCTTTCAGAGTTGTTCAGTATTGCAAGGCTTTCGAAATATTATGACTTACTGTTGACTCTAGTGAAGTGGAAAGGTGAAATATTATTTTTAAATGACACCTAAATATAGTTTGTGCAGGGTCACTATACCAATATATTTAAAAGAAATAGTTTAAAATAGTGCAATTGTTTGGAGAGGCTTTCTCCTTCCTTTCCTCTCCATTTGTATCCTCTTTCTTCAAGGGCTAGGTTGCTGAATTAGTGACTAAGTATGGAAGAGCAGTAGATACACACTAGTCTCCTAAACTGTAGCCATCTGTTGAAATCCCAAGCATTGCAATAATTTTCTAAATTACTTAATGCTGTGAAAAAAATGGAAACAAAGCTGCTAGTTTTCCCTGAACCTTTTTCCTTGTGTAATAGAAAAAACAAAAGTCCTTTGCTAATATGGCATCGTTTCTTTAATACAACAAAATTTAAACACACTAACTTTTGAGCTAAATGTAAACTCCCCACGTATGGATGGAACTTTTCAGTATTTGTGTACGTGTGAATGCTTCAATACCAAGTTGTGCGTGAAATAATGCAAGTGACTTTTGAGGAGAAACGAAATTGTGATTGATAGTAATTAATATCAGAGTACCTACCTTAAAAAAATCCTACCTTAAGACATAAGATTTTTGTAAGTATGTTCAGGTTTTGTTTAATAGTTTCATATTCTTTTAGTCCACAGAAATCAGAATCTGTACCTGACAAATGGCGAAATGTGGAAGCAATAACACATTCATTCCCTAGTTTTTATGGGGAGTTACCAAGAAGTAAGTATATAGAGGAGTGGCAATATTAGCTTTTAAATGTTTGGGGTTTTGGTTTGATTTGGTTTTTTTTCCCCAAGCTTTTTATTGCTAAAATACATCACTGAACTTCAATAATGAAAAAACAACATTAAATTCTTTTGCTTTGAGCAGGTCCAGTTTACAAATACAGAAACTGAATTGTTCAGTTCTGTGAATATCAGAAAAGAATGTAAAAAAAGTTGACTGTTAAGTAATAGAGGAATCAAGGATATTTTTTTTTTCTGTGATAGCAAAACATTCAGCTGAGTTTCTAAAGATATTTTCTAGCAATCTGAAAAACAGAAATGTAATAAGACAAAACACTGTTTTCTTCCCCTTCCCCCATCTCCCTCATCACCATTATGTGCCTGCCCAGTAATATATACAGCCCTTCAAGCAAACTGTTGCCTTAGTAATACAAGAGCTATCTTGACTGTTCAATAGTGCCCTTAGACTTTTGGTTTAAGGCAGAATAAAGTAATCTCTTCATGTTAATATCCCACAGGCAATTGTTCACCAATCTGGACTTTGCAAGCCAGTCAAGTTTGTTTACAATATGCAACTAAGCAAAGAATGTTGAAATAAAAACCTCAATAGAATATGAGTATTTGTCAGTACATATTACCTAAAAATCAGTGTTCCTGTTATAGACTAAGTTCTATCTAGACTGATAAATTCTTTCAAGTCAAATCTTGACCCTCTTCTATGTAAATAAACCTTAATATTCTCCTCTAAAATCAGATTTTAGTGTGCCTTTCCTTCTCTAACTCTTCTATGAACCATAACTATAGAAATTGTTATGACAGCAGAAATGCTTGTTGGAAGAAAGAGATGGAACATAAAATCAAGTGACAGTAGAAAATAAGCAGATGGAAGGCATGAAAATGGTGTAGAAATTACTAAAATGTTTGTGGACATAAAAGTAGTTTTACTGAGTGACCTAAAACTTCTAAAGTAATCTAACTCATATGCCATATCTCCTAGTTCACACAGTTTTTTGGATTTGCAAATTAAAATCTTATCTAAGACTTGCAGATCTCAGACATTTAAGGAATGACGTGTTCTTTGGCATCAAGGGCACACTGGACAGCAGAATGGGCAATGTTAAATCTTGATTCTGCTGATGTTTACGGACTTTCTGTATCTATTTATATGTGTGCAGAGATGGGAAGAAAACGAAATTACAAACAGGAGCCTAATGCTTTTGGGCACACATGGATGTGAAACCAAAGTATTGTAACAAAGGACAAAGCTAGATGATGGGTACCTTATTGGTTGTACTATTCTTGATCAGTGAAAGACTCGTGTTTAGATCAGAGTAGCCTCAGGTTAGCTCTTGAGTCAGTAAGAACTATAGAAGCTATTAAGTCAAATTTGCATTGCTAGGATCTTTCCTCACATCCAAGATTTTGGAGAGCTGGTTCTATCTCACAGGAGGAACTGTAGGTTCATGCTAAAATTAGTTGTGAAGGAGAGGGTTGGAAAGTTTGAAATAACAACATTGAGGGTTTTTTTAGTGTGTGGTGTCCCTGCTCATGGCAGGGGGGTTGGAACTAGATGATCTTAATGTCCTTTCCAACCCTAACTATTCTATGAT